AACATCAAACTCATATTGTTAGGTTTAGGTCCTGGTCTCAGGCAGGCTTGTAGTCCTGCGCTTTCAGGGTCAGTTTCATTTTCAAAGTATTTGCTGCAGTATTCGGATCTGTTTTCTGAAAGTGCCATGCACTGATCACTTGTGAAATGAATACTAGCCTGTTCAATTCTCAGTGACTTGGTATCTATAGGCAGCACAGGGTTAGGCCACTTAGCACACAACCACATAAGTTTGCTTTTCCCAGTGTCTTCCTTCCTACAACCACACTGCCATTTGATAGGTTCTGAGTGCTTTCCTAGTGGGTCTTCAGGCAGAAAGGTAGAATTCTGGTTACTCGGTACTGCTATACCCTTGTCATAATTGCATCCCCCATCGAAGTGAAGGGAGACCTCAACTTGGGACATCACAGTTTTTCCAAACACTCAGGAAATTTCCCTCATTCAGTATTTTATTTTATTGGGTAATCGAGGCTCCCATTTTCGGCTTACCATCACCTTGAGATTGCTTCAAGGCTGCGATATGAGAGAAAACAAAAAAGAAAAACTGAGTGATAGTTTTTGTTTCCCTATAAGCATTCAGAATAGACTTTTCCATCCTTGAAGTAGATCTATCAGGCCTTTTCTATTTCCCAGCAAGAGAATGTTAATTTTATGTTACACAGGAGAAGAAGCCCCATCTGTGGAGAAAAGTAAGACACCCTAATTATCTCCAAGTGTTCTTCTGCTGGATGACAAGAATGATAAGGTCATGACTATTCCTTTTCCAGGACATACCTGAAGGAGTTTTTCTTTGTTTATTTGTTTTTGTTTCTGTTTTTGTTTTGTGCCTATTGAACATTAGAAATGTTATATCTTACCCAGATGGAAGCGCGGGCTTGCCTCTTCTTACTTATAAATCCAGGTTTACTCCATCTTGATAATTCTCTCCTGAAACAGATCACTGCATGTGAAGGCACCAAGGAGTGATTCTACGTTACCGAGTTAAGATTAGGGTAATAAATACAAACATAAACAATGACTACTGTTTTTTCTATGAGTGAGAAACTTTTTTTCTCTGACCCCGAGACTCATGTCTTCTGCCAGCACGTGTGAAAGTGTAATTTAAGGTTCTTACCTTTCAAGCATGGTAACATCTCAGGCAATACAAGTAGATGTAGCATAGAAGTAGAGGTCATACTAGAGTCAGATGGATCCCTAATTCAATATAACTTAGTGTCCTTACAGAAATGGAAAATTTGGACACGGCGACATGCACACGGGGAAAATGCCTTATGCATATAAGGGTAGCAATCAGGGTGATGTGTCTACAAGCCAAGAAATTCCAAAGATTGCCAGCAAACCACTGAAAGCTAGGAGAGGGCCAGAAAATAGATGTTCCCTCGTAGTCCTCAAGGGAACAAACTCTGAGCTTTTGGCCTCCAGAACTGAGATATATCAGATTTGTGTTGTTGAAGCCACCAAGTTCATATGACAATGTTAATAACAACCAAAAGAAAACTAATAAAATAATATTTTTACATAATTAAAAAGACTGTGGTCCACAATTTTAGGTTTGGAATTGAAAAATAGTATCTGGAACCCTGTAGTATATTTTCTTACCCAAGTGGTAAACAAGAGAGAGTAAGGATCTTGCACTATTCAAACTGAATGTTTCTTCCCAAATAATGTGTCATTTGTTAACAACTCCTTTTGAGGATGCAGGAAGCAAGGTAATATAATAGCTCCCCACTGACAGGGAATATGGCTTTGGCTAATGAACTGAAGGGTGCCCAGAGGTGAAAATAAGTAGTGTCAGTGTTGAACAGATGGAGATACCGAAGTTCAACCCAAACTAAAAAAGAGACCTAGTAGTTGCTGGACTTTAGAGACTGGAAAATGCATCTACGTCTAGTGAATAATTCAAGTCTGGTTTGCTTGGCCCTGGCATTAAATCAATTTTGCCTGAATGAGTCACAAGTACTCTACCAGGAGAAACTTTATGTCTCAGGCTCTGCCCCAAAGCAAAACTAGTATTGCAATGAGCCCCTCAATTTATGAAGATTTTTCTAGCTGCATAGGTGTAATTCACTTGATGGCTTAGCTAAGTCAAAGCTTGATGGTGTCTACTGTTCTGTCTGGCTAGTCATCATCACCAGCTATTACACACATGCGACGGCAGGCATGTTTGTGGGACTCTATGGGAAAACTTAGGGGCCAAACTCAACTCACGGGGTATTTGACTTTATAATCCTAGCCCATCTGAGGCTGTTGTCAGTCATTTAGCTGCTTCATCATGAAAAATTACATCTGACATTTCTAAAACATTCTTCTTTGGGTCATTAATTGTGGAAAAAAACAAACAAACAAAACAAAACATCATCAGATGACTGGCCAAGGTGGATAATTTTGAAGATGCCCACTGTAAATCCCACTGTCTGATGAGAAAGCTAGAGTGTAGCTGCTGATGCAGACTACTACCTGAACCCTGTATATGACAGCACAGCCATCATCAGAGTTCAGGTACACAAACTGAGAAACTCTATGTGGTTTATGTAGAAGTTATCACAGAATGCAAGACTTGTGACGCCTGATGAAAATTGCTCCATTTGACCCTTAGTCCTAAAGATATTAATATACGGGATGCTGTCACTGCTTAACCTGACCCATTTGCTTCCTTTCAAACCAATCTAATTTGCTTCTTCACTGGTAACTCTTCTTCAAGCCATAACACCACTTTTCCTGGCTGATTAACAGATTTTAGCAACACAATGGTGCTTCAAAGCCTCAGTATCTCTCTGCATTTAGATATAATATTGTACATTCTGATAATGTTGCACCTCTTATTTTAAAGCAATGTGAGAAAGTCAAAGTATTTCATGGATGTTCCATATTCCCTAATACATGCAGACATTTGATATTGTTGCACTTTGAGCGTATTTCTAACTCTCCCACCTCGTGGGCCCTCAGTCCACATATGTTAGTAGATAATTTGATTAGTAAATTCAACTGTCTCAAATGAGGGACTCTGTCCTTTTGGCTACTTCCTGGGTACAGATCTAATGAAGAACTGGCTGTGTGACATAAGGAGACCTATTCTGAAAAATGTATGATTCTATTTGGACCTTTTCGATGAAGGTAAAGTCTAAGTAGTGCAATAATTGAAGCACAATAAATGTATAGGTATGGGGATGAGAATCATTAATAGGGGAGGGAATGAAGACACAGTAACAATTGCAGAGTATGGGAAGAGATCTATTTTGATCTCTGGGGTATGAATTCAGGAACAATAATTAACACTCTCTGTCCCTAGGCCTAGCGCAACTGACTGACTCGAGCAGCAACCATAGCTGTCAATCTATCCCACTGACAATGAAACTGGAAAACTTGTGTTGAAGAGTAAAAACCAACAAGTAATAGCTTGAAGACAATGGGAAGTTTGCTGTTTTGAAAAGGAAAGTCGATTTTAATTAGTGTAAGACAAAATTTAATTATTGCTCATTTAATAAATATTGAAATATATCATCTGGCAGGCACTGTGCCATATCTCTGACAATGTAGTCAAGGAAAAGTTGACAGGAAATATCTGAAAGAGGATACATCTGTGCTGGGATGGGTTCAGCAGTGGTATAAAAAAGCAAGAACAGGACCTTTTAATGCCGAGAAAGAGGGCAAGATCGTGAGGCGGGTGTATGCATGACTGAGAAAAGTTTTCTCACACGTATCTCTGGACGGATAGTGGTTGAGAAAGGTATGGAAGGGAAGATAGGGAAGAAACACAAAGGCCAGATCTTCAAGAGAGTTGCTAGCCATGCTGAGGCACTGAGCTCATAATCTAAAAGTCAGTCAATGCCAGAATAAGATATTAAAACATAAAGCAATTTAAAAACATGCATTAGAAAATTAAAAGGTGATGTTGCAGAAAAGTTACAAAAACTCAGAGCAGCACCCGAAGGTTTGAAGTAACTCAATTGTATTATGCCAGGGGTCCCAGTAGAGCTAATGCTCTGAAAATCTGGGCCCCGAACTTAGGGGCAATTTTATTTCTATATCCGTGTGGTTACAGTTGGCACGGGCTGATTTACAGACCTCAGAAGTTGCTATAGGCAGTTATAGATCATAGGGTTTTCTATGTAACAAGCACTAAAATAATACATCTTTTGTAACAAGCACCAAAGCAATATATCTTTAGGGGAAGATGAGTTCTCTGTTGACCTTGAGATGTCTGGCTTTGCAACAAGCATGTTTACAGAAAGAGCTATTTAGAAATTAGACCAATTGAGAGGGAAATTCCTCTTCAATGGACTCACAGAGGGAGGAAAGAAGGGCACAATAAGCTTGAGTGCTTTGAGGGCAGTAGAAGAAAATGAGACATCTAAAATATTTGTAAAATTCTGCACGTGCTGACAGTGATGAAATCTATGAGAAGAGCATATGATCTTTCCTATTTTAGTGAGGGCATCATGTTAGTCATGATTACTGAGCTAGTTAGAGTATGCTATACTTTTAAGTGTGAGATGCATTTGCATGAAGACAACTTCTGCCAACTGAAATCTAAGGTCTCATATTTTAAAATCACAGGAAAAAAGTAATGAAATTGAGACAAAGCTAAAGTAAATACAGCATGAGCGTCTTTTCTAGATTTGATATGCATCTATCCCTTCCTATCATCCCAAGATAGGCCTTCATTTGATTCATCCTATACTGTACCAGATATCACTTAAGTCAAGTTTCTTCATTTGCTTTTATTTCCTTGTTCTCTACCCCTTTAAACACTTAATTGGATATAATTTACTTAAATGTCCATAAAGACCAAAAGGTCCAAATACTAAACGATAGTATAGAGTCTACCATGAACAAAAGCATCATTTTACTCTTAACTCTTTCAAAAATAAAGGAATTAACACATAAGGTGAACATAAAAGTTTATTGTTCAAAGGAGATGGTTGCATGCATTTTGCTGATGTTTGCCAACATAATTTTTAATGTTTGTTATTTTGCATAGTGTGGTAGTCCATTGGTACATCACCTGTAATTAGGGTGATGCGTTCGCCTGACAGAGGTGGTTGGCGAGGTGACATTGAAAGAGTGGCAGCAGATGTATCAGCTATCGTTGGCATGGGGAAGCATGAGATGCCTGCTGGTTGCAAGTTGGAAAAAGGACTGTCATTGACTGATAAATCAGGATATCTAGTTGGAAAAGTAGAAGGCTGCATCCTTCCAAAAGAACTTCTCTGTAAGGGAGATACGATATAGTGAGAAGTAGAAGTTGTGCTTGTAATAAAATTCACGATGTGGCCATTTGCTTGAGTGTAGCTGCCAGGTGAGCGCATTTGAAATGTGGTCATCTGATTCAAAACAGCTCGTTGGTCCATTACAGTTTGTTCTGATGATCTATCTAAAGTCGATGATGGAGGACAAAATTCACTTCTGGTTGGAGCAGTTGTATTAGCGATTGTCTGGCTGGTAGCAGGCTTGCTCATTGGTGGCGTGTTTAAATTTATGGAAGTTGGATCTATTCTTTCTCCACGTGTATCAGCAACAAAAGCAGAATGATGATTACCAATAATAGTCTCTGTTCCACAGAGCTCCTTGTTGAAATTTTGAGCTTTTGAAGCTGCTGGAGAAGCATTTTTGATCCCAACTCTTCTTTTCATTCTGCGTAAAAGTTGAGGACAGCCTCGTTTAAAATTTGGATTTTGATAGAAGTGTAACTAAAACCGGAGGAGAAAGTTATTTGCTGACACAAAACTATAAGAAACGTAACCTCTAAATCTCATATATCAAGGTTATTATGCCAAGTTAATGTCATCAAAACATGGACATTGCTAAGTATTGTCAAAAATCGCTTATTGAGAATAAAAACTTAAATAGCATGGCCCTCAAGTGAAAACAGTTTTTACATTTAAAGTAACACCGAATGCATTCTTTAAAGTGGTTTCATTACCATTCCTTAAGAATTCACTGATGAGATTCAAAGTTGCTAGGAACATTTTTTATAATCCTGAATGACCAATCCATTCTCAAATTCTTAAAAAAAAAACTTATTAGTTTTGATATTTTTATGAAATATAATATATGTGTGTGTATACATATACATATATATATATATGTATTAACATATTATAAGGGCTAATTAAATTTTGTACTACCTTGCTTAAAATAGAGACTTCTTCCTCTTCTGCCAGAATATCTGCTAGACGAGCAAATCTTCGAAAAGTCTGTTGCACTTTACTAAATCCATAAAGATTAAGCTGTCGAACTAAACTTTTCATACTTGTAGTTTCAAATACTCTGAAAGGGGCCTTTCTTTCCAGAACTTCTTTCTTAAAGAGTTCTTCGTTAATCACTATACAAGTTCCATTCCCATCCCAACAAATTGACTGAAATTGATCACTTTCAACTATTTTCCAGAGTTTCCTAGGAAAGGTCATAGATCGAAAATCATTATCTTCATCTGGTCCAGAAACGCAAAATGTGTGACAAGTTCTTCTTATCAAGGATAGTGTAGAAAAAGTCTGAAAATCACTTTCTGTGGATACAGACCTCAAGTCCAAGGCCCCAGTCAATGTGTGATCACACAACAGAGATGTAATGGAGGATGCTGAACCAGTTGCTTCATCTTTAGAAGAATCATCTTGAATTTCTGAAGAATCACGTGCCATGTCAAATAAACCTTTCTTCACCTACTTTTGTCACTGATCTAGTTTTGAATACCACAGCCCCAAATGCTGCCTTAGCAGACCTACACTGATAAACTACCCAGATCATCACAATGGTGCTCCATATGAGTAGCTATGACATCACAAAATGACTGGTCTCCTAGCAACAAAAAGTAACATGCAGCCAGTGTTTCCATTTTACTCTGTAAATTTTATTCAGGTAACGTAAAATTAGAGTGATTATTTACATAGTGTAATCTGCAAAATCTTATTGTGGCAGATTTTTTTTTTTTTTTTGGCCAGGCCACATGTTTATTTGCTATGGGCAATATTAGAAATCTAATATCATCTTTACTGTAGAAAATGAAATGTCATTTTGCAAATTAAAAAATATACAGATATCTTTTTTTTCCTGGGGAGGTAGTCACAGACATTTATTTATTTATTTATTTTTCAAAATTATGTTTATTGCAGTAACATTGGTTAATACATGATATAATTTTCAGATGTACATTCTAATTTGATGTCTATGTATTCTATTGTGTGAATACCACCAAAAGTCCAATTTCCTTCATCTACCACGTATTTGATTCCCTTTACTCACTTCAACCTCCCTCAACCCCAGTATATTTACCTGTTTTTGTGTATATACCTCTTCCCTCCTCCCCAACCGCGTACACTTTGATAACCACTAATCCATTATCCCTTGCCCTGAGTCTCCAC